GTGTGGGATACGATGGGTAGGAGATTGCTCAATTTGCAACGTCCTCCTCAGAGTCTAGAAGCACTTCGAGAGGAGCTGGTGGTTGCCTGGAATGAGATACCACAGAAGGACATTGACCACCTGATCAGAAGCATGCCTAGGCGCGTTGGAGAATGCGTAGCACATCAGGGTGCATCCACATATTATTAAAGGTCAAAGGGCTTTAAAGCAGTGCAATCATTTTGAAATTTTTATCATTTACTTATTATGCTTCATTAAGTACTTATACAAAATTTTATTAAAATAAAACCATTTAAACTGGGTGTTCGGATTTATATGTCACTTAGTATAATTATGCCATCTTGTAGAGGAGGAATAGTGGTAATGTTAATGTGCAATTTATATTGACAAATAAAGTCAGGAAAAAAATGTAAACGATTTTGGGAAAATTCGTGCTGACTATCTCCGGAAGTACATTGAATTTATAAGCTTTCTAAGTCGAATTTTGTTAACTACATACGAGGGTTGGTCCCAGAAGTACCCGACCCAATGAAGAAAACACAAAATTGTTGTAAAAAAATGTATTTATTTTTCAACATAATCTTCTTTGAGCTCTATACACTTTTCCCAGCGATGTTCAATAAGTTCGATACCCTTTTTATAATAAGAACTGTCTTGCTCCTCAAAATAGCCATTTAACTGCCGACATCACTCCTTCATCGTTGGAAAATCTTTGACCACTGAGCCAGTTTTTCAAGTTTGGAAACAGAAAATAATCCGATTGGGCTAAATCTGATGAATAGGGTGCATGAGGTAGCAATTCAAACTTTGATTCGTTAATTTTGGCCATTGCAATAACGGATTTATGAGCTGATGCATTATCTTGATGAAACAACACTTTCTTCTTAACCAAATGCGGCCGTTTTTATTTGATTTCATCGCTCAAACGTTGCAATAAGTTCGCATAATACTCGCCGTTGATAGTTTTACCTTTTTCAAGATAGTCAATGGAAATTATTCCACGCGCATCCCAAAAAACCGACGCCATAACCTTGCCTGCAGATGAAACGGTCTTCGCCTTCTTTGGAGCCGGTTGTCCCTTTTGAGTCCATTGTTTTGATTGTTCTTTTGTCTCGGATGCGAAGTGATGGACCCATGTTTCATCCATGGTTATGAAACGACGCAAACATTCTGCTTTGCTGCTGTGAAACTTCGCTAAACACTCAATTGACACATCTTCACGACACTGTTTTTGCTCGATTGTGAGCAATCGCGGCACCCATCTTGCACACAGCTTTCTCATGTCCAAATTTTCAGATAATATGCGATGAACCGCATTTTTTGAAATGCCTACTATGTCTGCTAGATCGCGCACTTTCAGTCGACGATCATTCAGTACCGCTTTGTGAATTTTCTTCACCATTTCTGGAGTCGTCACCTCATTTGGTCGACCACTGCGATGCTCGTCTTGGCAGCTAATACGGCCATGTTTAAACTCTGCTACCCAATATTTTACTGTTGTAAACGACGGAGCAGACTCACCCAGAGTAGAATCCAGTTCAGCTTTTATATTGGTTGGGCTGAGGCCTTTGAAATAAAAGTATTGTACCCATAACGATGACCAATTTTCTCCATTTTCACAAATTGATTGAAAACGTTCAGTATTGATGGCTGCCAAACAAATATTAAACATCGTGGCGTCTTCAAACCAGTGTTGCCAGAGCGAAGTTTAAAATATCCGTCACACGTATCGCAAAATTCCGCTACATGCCGCTACGGTCTAAAAGTTTAAGGGGGGGGAGGCATAAAATAAACAACAAATATATTTTTTACATATTTACTTTTTTTTAAACACTGTCTAAAAACCGTACTAAAAATACAAACAGTAACATAATATAATTGCATTTTTTCGTAAAAACATAAAAAGTATACCTACCTCTGAAAAAACAAAACTGTCTTTGGTTTAGAATAAGGAACTAATAAAAAAATAGAAACTATCACCAATATCTTAATCTTAATAGAAAAAAAAACAAAAAATAAGGCAAAGAAGAAGCGGAAACGTCGAAATGCCTACGTTTGCTTATTTTATTCACAGTCAGAATCAGAAATTACTTCTTCTTCAGATGTTCTTCCTTATTTACATTACATAAATTCTTTTTATATCTGTTTAAATGATTCTCATTAAAAAAATTGCCTTTTCGGTTTCAATATGAAGGGCAATTTTTTTTAAAACGGCATCATGAAAGGTATCACTTGTAATAAGACGATTGTCACATCAACCGGTGAGAGAAACTTTAGCTCTGAAAAGAAGTTGTCTTTGATAGGAAATCTTTTAAGGGACTCTTCTACCGATTTTTGGTAAAATGTGACAGATTTTAATTTAAATTGTTCGATTGCCGTGTTATTGCAGTGTTTTATTGCATCCATTGTATGCGGACCAACATTCACTTGTTCAATTGGTAATAAGCAGTGGGGATCATTAGGATTTAGATTATATAATTTCTCATTTTTAAAATATTCTGGTCGCATAAAGTTTGTACATAGATGACGTACAAATCGCTCACTCTCTATTGATATTATATTGAGCATAACTTTCTCTGATTGAAAGAGACCATTAAATTGGTTAAAAATGGGCAACACGAATTTAAAAAACATTAAATACGCCTTAACAAATGGATTCTGTAACTCATTAAGTATTACATTTGCTACAGGATTTTTGTCTTCAATGGAAGCTAATCTAAATAGGCTAAGCAAGATGTCCCACTGATCCAAAACAATATCAACACATTTGGATAAAGTAAGCCACCTTGTTTTACTAGGGCTTAAAATTTTTAATTTTGATTTTTTGAAATATTCCTGTAATTCTTCAAGAATACACAGCCTTTTTGGGCTTCTTGAGAAGTAAGAATATAAGTTTTGTAAAAGAGCTTCAACGTTGCTTGGAATCTTTTCAGCTGCCGCCACCGCCACTAAATGAGCAGAGTGGCAAATGCAGCCATTGGCAATTATATTAGGATTATCTTTTAAAAGATAAGTTTTGAAAGATTCGTTATTGCCCATCATAACACTAGCGTTGTCGGAACAGTATCCAACAATATTGGTAATTTTTACTTGATTGGATATAACGCATTTTTTAAAAAGAGAATATAAACCTTTGGCGGTACCTTCATCTGCGTTTATTTTAATTATATCTAATAAATGGGTTTTCATTGAATTTTTATGAATATACCTTACAAGAATGCATAGTAGTCTTGTATTGTTCAGGTCTATACTCTCATCCAATAAAATAGAAAATGGTTTAGTTTCCAATTCTGAAATTATTTCGTTTTTAATAACAGGAGCCAACACATTTTTAATTATACTTATACATTTGGATGTTTTTAATTTAAGTGAGCTAGAGAGATCTGGGCCTTTAAAACATAATTCACTAACTCCTGTTATATGATCAACAGTTCTAAAACTTATATAATGACTTACAACTAAAAGACTATATCTTAAGCAAGCAAATATTTGCCGTTTTTCCAACTCACGTGCTTCCCGAGACTGAAAAGTGCTATCTAACGTTCTTACATTCGAAATTGCTTGTACATTAGTGGCATGCCTTTTTGATTTCGAATGACTCACTAAATCTGATTTTTTAGCACTCATTATTTGATTACAAGCTTTACATTTTGCTTTCAACTTGTCATTTTCAATAGGTCCCAACCAGCCTTTAAATAACGGATCTTCTAGCCATGATGAAGTAAACATTTGTTTTCGTGTCTTTTTCTTAACAGGTTGCTCTGGCTCTTGGTTATCCTGAGATTCGCAAGTCGAATTATCAGGCTCAGACCTGATTCCACTAGATTCCGCTCTTCTATTTTGTCTGTATTCAGGTACGGGATGCTCCGAGTCCGACGCAGATGCAGTCGAAGTGGATGGTACGGCCACGTTTGGTTTCACCGCTTGTTTTTTAGAAGGATTTTTATCAAAAAAATCGTTAATGGTCTGCTGTCGCCTTTCCATGATTCCTATTTTCCAGAAGAAAAAGCGTTAAAAACAAATTTCGCGACTAAGATTTATTTCTGGATCAAACTATAATATGTTAGATATTTAAGCAGTTTTGTTACTTACCAGTAGATTTAATATTAAAATCTGCAGCAAATGATATATCAATAAAATGATCAACACAAAAATAAGAACACTCATATAAACGAAACTAAACAGTATATACCCAGAGCTGAAAAATACAATACAAAGCGAGAAACTTAATATTATGTCTGCCTGCTGAGACCTGTTAGAAACGATTAGTATTGAAAGCAGTACGTACGCCATCTGTTATTGAAAAAAAAGGCTAGTGGAATAATTCTCTTCTCTGTTCCTAGAATGCTCAAGCGGCACCAAATGCACCAATTTTATTATTAATGTGATAATAAATCAGACTCTAGCCACTGCCTATTTAGGATTTAGAACGTTATTAACGTTAAAACAGTGAAATAAATATGATAGTTTTGTATGTAATAAATTCCGCTACATTTTGGGCTAATTTGCTCTACCGCCGCTACGCCGCTCTTCACAAAATAATCCGCTACAAATAGTGGAATTCTGCTACGTATGGCAACACTGTTTCAAACTTGACACATATGCTTTATCACAGGTTCCATACTTTCTAATACAATGATATTTTTTAAACAACTATCGCCATCTCTAGGTCAGGCCGGGTACTTCTGGGACCACCCTGGTAAATATGCAACTTTGCCACCACTTAATGATGTAACTCTTACCGCTCCTGAGATTCCAATGGTGAGGGTCGAATTTGCAACACACGAATTGTAAATCTAGATTTATAACGCAGTTAGTCATGGGATAGCTATAGTTGTTCGGAAAGAAACTGTAGAAAACTTGAATATCATCAGCATAAGATTGACTGGATCTATGTTGGAAAGTGTTAGCGATATCAAAAATGAATAATGAAGAACATTTCAAATCGATCCAGTTTTGAATGGTAGTATGATACGTATGTAATATTAAATCAAAAAACAGATATTAAGCATCTTTATTACCGAAAGTGAACGAGTCCAAGAATAACTACTTAGTACTAACTATCAACACAGATCCTTCGCTTGCTCTCTGGTGAGAAATACAAACGGTAGGGATACCCACTTGCATTCCTTTTTGCCACATATGAAGAAGTTTAACGGGTGACCATCTTCACTGCAATTCACTGCTCTTACATATCCATCACCAGTGTTTCCATTTTCGTCTGTGTAACTAACGTTGCAGTGCATCAGACATTTCATGTTACCTATTGAAATAGACCAATATCTAATTTGGTAGTTTTACCTGCAAAGTTTTGGGAAAGTTCTCAAACCTTGATATTCTTACTTTACGAATAATAATAGTTTTTACTATGTCCTGTATTACAGTATATTTTACTATATCTCGGTTCCAGATCTTTATACTATAAAACTAGCTGTACGTCAAATTAGATTAGAAATAATTTCTCACAATAGGCTAGTTGACACTTTTTACACTATACAGGGTGTCCGCAAAGTTGGGGTTTTCCTTTTCAGAAACAACTACCCTTGAAATAACAAAGGTAATGTGTAGTGAAACGAGGGCGACCAAGTAAAAAAAATAAAGGAAAAAGTACTCACTCTCATGTTGACGAGAAGGGCTAAGTACGTCTCTGCCCGAAATCATACCGCTCCAACAGAAAATGAAATCAGCAGATCCGCTACCGAGCAGACGCAGAAACCACATTGATTGTCTTATACTTAATGGCACATCTTCTAACAAGGAAGGCAAAATGTTGCGTAAAAAGTCTAGGTATTGCATCCCGTCCAATCGATTTGGGAGAATAAATGGTCCAATGAGCATACCGTTCACCATGCCAGCCCAAACATTCACCGAAAATGTTTGTTGAAAATGTGCCCGAAGGACAGCGTGCGGATTTTCTAAAGACCAAACATGAGTGTTGCGAAAGTTATTCACCCCATTACGCGTGAACGTAGATTCGTCTGTCACCAATATGCACTTCAAAAAGTCCGGATTATTGTCATGTTGATGCAACAACCACTCACAAAACCGCAATCTTGCTGGAAAATCGTCAGGTTGAAGGGGTTGTACACGTTGGACGTGAAACGGATACAGCCCCTCTTCACGCAGCGTTTGCCACACTTTAGTTTTTGATACTTGCACTTCTCTAGCCACGTCTCTAGTGCTTGTTGAGGGATTCTCGTTTTCGCGATTACCTCTACACGCGTGACCGTAACCGTCGGTTGAAGGTTGCATACTGACCTGACACACTGACGCCGACCCAGTTCTGTCGTCGGGTTGAGTCAGTGACCTTGTAAAAGTCGGTGATGTCGCGGCTACAGGATGGTATTCAGATATTTTTGATGTTGCAGAGCCCTTTATCTCGGTTCCCTTAAGACATTGGTGTATATGGCACTAAGAAAATTGCTTATGTTTTCAAGATCTACACGTCGTGTAAAGGAAAACCCCAACTTTGCGGACACCCTGTATAGTTTCAGGCCTAAAATACCTTAAAACTTTAATGTAAAAAAATGTTCTTCTTAGACAGGTGACAGCGGCATAACCTCTCATACTTTTAAACCGATAAACTGGACTTCTACTAGTTTACATGAAAAATATAGTAATTATCATTATTGTATCGCCCGGCAATGTAAAAAAACATCGATAAAGATCATAGGAACGCTGTTTCGGGACATATTTTACATTTTATTGTGCATGTCGTTTTAGTCTGACGTAACAGACGTCATCATCACCGTACGATTCCCTTGTAGATATGTAAGAAGAAATACAATATTCAAGTTAAAAGGTTAAAAATCGCTTTAAAATGGAGAAGTCTCAAAATACTCTTCAAGGCTCTATGAAGCAAGGTTTAAAATTTAATTTAAATACATGGTAACCATAAGAATTATAATTTGACACAGTTTTTAAGGCGGCTCCGACGCAGTGAGTTTCAAGCCATTTACAAGGGTTCAGCTGCTTCGAAAGTGACACTCCATTTTTCAATATTTTTGAATGAAATTCATACAGTATGTTCAGAAGATAATTGCCCAGGGTGCTATAGGAGCACTTTTTGAAATTTTTATGATGGGTTGAAGTGCGCACTTTTTCTGTTCAACTTCGTGATTTTTTTTAAAAGAATCTAGTTAAAAAAATGTAAAAGTGGCTCTATAGCACCCTGTGGGGTTTTGTTTTCAGCACACTGTGAAAATTTCATTCAAAAATATCAAAAAATAAAGCGTCAATTTCGAAGCGCGCAAACCTCTACAAATCGGTTTTTGGGCGAAATTCGTCTACCGTTTCGTTCTGCCAGTCCAAGCGACACGACGGTGCGTTCCGACTAAGAAAAAATGTATTCAAATAATTTGATATCTTTAATAAAATAAATTCAAGAACTCAAATTCAGATTCGTTTATTCATGTCAATAAACACAATTATGTTTACAAGGGTCATGTGGGGTATCAATTGCACGAGGGACATAAAAAAATCTTATGCCGTCAAAATAATAGGAAACAGTTAGGTAGTTTTTGCAAAGCAATAAACAGATAGGCTTATACCTGGATTAAGTACATTTCTTGCCTACTGTAATAGGTAGATGGAGACGATGCTGTCAGAAATGGATTTGTGCGATCAATAAACAAAACACAAGATTGAACTGCCGTGTCCAATGATTTTTGTATTGCCTTTTTTATTGCCTTACTAGAAAAATCTGTTGGGTATATGATGGAATTTACCAGAACTTTACAGCTTGTTGTCTGCCTTCTTCTACAAACTTCACCAAATCGAAACGCTGTCAACCTTGTCCTCCGATGAAGGCGCCACAAAGTACAGTCCTGTGATTTAGTGACTTGTTCGATCTGCAAAATCTCGTCGTCATTTTTTTTTAAATTTCCCTAAGAATTCTTGCTTAGCAACCTCCAAATCAATGTCGTTCATGTCAGGTTTTTGACAGAATTCGCCATAAAACTATTCATTTTCTTTGGAATTGCTATCCGAATTGTTAGTCATTTTGATATCAGCCTTTTTTGGCCTGAGTTTCTTTTCAAGATTCTTGCATTTGAGTCTTTGTTCCATCTTAGCGATAAGCGATGTTGGACTAAGCTTAGAACGCAAATGTATTTGGACCACATAGACAGACCGCTGGGTATTGTGGCTCACTACAGCTGCACATCTTCCATGGTATGACCTCTTCTTGCAATAATTTATTCGCTGACTCCCCAATGTATTTTGCGATTATAGAATTGAAAAAAAGGAACTAAAACCAACCCTTACAACTACAGGCCTATAGCTCTGCTTTCTGTTATAAGTAAGGAGATGGAGAGCTGCATAAATCGCGAGCTTCTGGATTACCTCGAACGTCACGGCTTGATTCGCGATAGGAAGTATGTTTTCCCGCACCAACGATCCTTCTAGCTTACATCACGCAATTTTAGAGCTTTTCAAGCATTACATCGCTCATATCTCGAAAATGGTCAGCTTTAGAGAATATTTAAGACAAGTCTGTTTTGTTCGGAATGATCCAAGAAACATGAACAAAAAGGCTTACAGATTGTAAATTATAAAAAAAGTTTAAAAAAAAATCGATCTGGGTTACCGCGCGGGTATATTCAATGCTTAAAAAAACTTGATTAAAAATTATAACTTTTGAGGTCTCCGGGTATCTAAATTAAAGTTACAACCTTGCTCTACAAGACCTTGAAGAGTATTCTGAGATTAGTTTACTTTATAGCGATTTCTAAACCTTCTTTTTCAGGTCAAAATAGGTGAAGTTTTGGTTTTCGCATGAGTATGCAAGTACAAGTGAAAGCTGAAATAAAATGTTATATTATCTAAATATAATAATAATAATAAATATGCATATATATGCAAATAAACTGAAATACTCAGAAGAATTTAATTCTTGTGCGTGGGAAAACATTTTTCATAAAATTTTTTTCTTAAAACCGTTAAATACAGCTAATAAATAAATTTAAACACATCATAACCATAAAGGTGACTGTAATAATATTATATTGAAATACTAATTTATTTTCATTTTAGTGAGTTTTTCTATTTCATGTCGATTAATATTTAACAAGAATTTTTTTATTTCAATTTTGAATCTATTTTTATTTGAAATGGATTTTATATGACTTGGTATAAAGTTATAAAATCTAGTGGAGAGGTAACTGAAGCATCTTTGACCTACATTTTTTTGTTGTAAATGGTGTTTCTTTATATCCTCGACTTTACTTCTTGTTTCATATTTGTGATCCAATGAAACGAGGTTTGTTATATTTTTGAATAAATTGATCAAAACATTGTGAAAAACGAGTTGTTTAAGATCGAGTAGTCTTCCTTCGGAATATAACATATCAGACGGATATAGAATTGGCCGTTTAAAAATAATTTTCAAAAATTGTTTTTGGATTATTTCTAGCTACTTAATTTGGTTGGTGAGATCACCACCCCAAGCTGGAATGGCATAATTTAGGCGGCATTCAATAAGTGCATTGTTTCATGGTTTAGATATTTAGTGAGGTACTTGAGTTTGAATAATAATCGTCTTAAATTAGTTACTATATGATCGACTTTAAATGATGATCCAAATGAACACCTAAATATTTTGTTTTATCAGCTGAATGTATTAATGTACTTGTATTGTCACATTTAATTTGTAAAGAGGTAAATGACGGTAATTTATTTTTAAGGTTTCTAAACGGCATATACTTGGTTTTCTGAAAATTGATTGTTAGATATTTGTGTCTAAACCAATCTGAAATTAAAATAATATCATTTTCAACAGTCTATTTAAGATTATCCCAGGAATTGTTGTTAAAATAAAGTATCACTGGGTCATCTGCAAAACATATTATTGTGCCTTGCGACTTCAAGCTAAGTAGGATATTGATATATACAGTAAAAAATAACGGGCCTGAAACTGTCCCTTGTGGTACACCATAAGTCACAGTTTTTTCAGAACTTATGGAATCATTTATTTGAACATATTGCTTTCTGTAAAACAGGTAACTTCTCATAAGGTTTTGAGCGTTTCCTCTAATTCCTGCATCGTATAAAGTTTCTAATAGTAGCGAGTGATCTACCGTATCGAACGCTTTTGCTAGGTCTAGGAATATGCATAATGTATACTGACATATAAATCCGAACACCCAGTTTAAATGGTTTTATTTTAATAAAATTTTGTATAAGTACTTAATGAAGCATAATAAGTAAATGATAAAAATTTCAAAATGATTGCACTGCTTTAAAGCCCTTTGACCTTTAATAATGTGTGGATGCACCCTGATGTGCTACGCATTCTCCAACGCGCCTAGGCATGCTTCTGATCAGGTGGTCAATGTCCTCCTGTGGTATCTCATTCCAGGCAACCACCAACTCCTCTTGAAGTGCTTCTAGAGTCTGAGGAAGACGTTGCAAATTGAGCAATCTCCTACCCATCATATCCCACACGTGCTCAATTGGGGATAAGTCGGGAGATCTTGGTGGCCATGGTAACAATGTGACATCATTATGTTGAAAGAAGTCTATTGTGACTCTTGCAACATGTGGTCGGGCATTATCTTGTTGGAAAGTTGGATCTGCCAGGGTGTCAAGATAGGGTAAAAGATGGGATTCTAGAACTTCGTGGATATAACGCTGCGCGTTCATGTTACCTCTGATGAAGATTAAAGGTGACCTGGAACCATAAGCTATAGCACCCCAAACCATAACTCCAACACTGTGATGAACATGTCTTTCAACAAAAAACTGTGGATTCCTCCTTTCACCACGTCGCCTTCTAACCCTGGCACGACCAACGTGCATGCCTAAACAAAATCGAGACTCATCACTAAAGACAATACTGTTCCATTCCTGATCCCAGAGTGACCGTTGTCTGCACCACTCAAGGCGATTACGTCGGTGTTCTCGAGTTAAAGGGAGGACCCAGTGTGGCCGGTATGAAAACAAGCCAAAACTTCTCATTCGTCGGTAAACACTTCGCATGCCAATAGGTCTTCCGTCTTCTGCAAACCATTCATTTGCAATGGACCTGGTAGTGGAGAAACGGTCCCTTAAGGCCAATAATCTTAGGCGGCGATCTTCACGGTCTGTTGTTCTACGGCGGTGTCCAGTGCCCTTTGCTCTTTGCGTACGGCCTTCTCGAAGCCACACCTGACAACACCTAATCACAGTCTCTACACTTCTTTGCACTCTAACTGCAATTGCCCGAAAAGAAAGTCCAGCTTCCCGAAGTCCCACTATACGGCCCCTATCAAACTTACATAGTTGACGAAATCGTACAGGTCTCCGTACTCTAGGCATCGTAACCGATCGTAAAGGATGTCAAGAACCAAAATCCGCCAACGTCGATTCTTTACTGCGGCTGAAATATTCATTTTTAGAGCGTTAGTGAATTAAAAAAAGCAGTATAAAAACCGGAATGTCCAACTGATAAGGCTGAAAATCTATTCACTTGTTATTTACAGTAAGATAAATACATTCACAAACTTTTATTAAAATAAAACCATTTAAACTGGGTGTTCGGATTTATATGTCACTTAGTATATATTTACTTTGTTCTAATAATTTATGAATTTTTGAAGTCAACAAGGAAACTGCGTCTTGAGTAGATTTATTTTTTGAAATCCAAATTGATTTTCATGAATAAGCTTATTTTTGTTGAAAAAACTAATGAGCCTAGCCTTTATGATTTTTTCAACTATCTTTGCCAAATTAGATATTAATGTTATTGGTATTAGATATGTCGCCAGATTTATGAATCGGTGTTATTATTCCTATTTTGTAAAAGTATGGGAAAACCCCAGATTCAATTATCAAATTTGTTAGTGGTTGTCTAATTTCAGGTGCAATTTTTTTGAGTACCTCTGATCGTATGCCATCTAAACCTGGACTTTTTTTATTTTTTAGGCTGTAAATGGTATATTCTGTTTCATTTTCTGTAACTGGTTCAAGAAAGATTGAATTTTGTATGACTAGATGGAATATTGGTGTTAGGGTTATTTATTTTAGTTGCCAGTTTCTCTCCCACTTGAACAAAATAGTTATTGAATACGTTAGCAATGTCTGAATCTACAGTTATTACAGTATTATTAGTTTTGATTCGTTCAATACTTGTTATTGGTTTAATCATATTGGCAAATTTGCCCGTAATAATAATCGTAAGGTCTGGTTTTATTGGTGCAAGTTGTTCAAGGGGATATTAAAAACATGGACGCATAAAATGGGCACCTACAGCAATTTTTGTGGGAAAACTGTATTTGACAACAAAGAATGAGAAAACGTGTTTTTTGGGATTCAATCGAAAGTGTTGACAGAAACGAAAAAAACTTTTTATGCAAGATTTTTAGGTATTTATGAGACCTACAAAATGAGACCACACGTAAAAAGATCCGACTAACAGCAAAAAAGTTATAGACGAAAAGCGAGGCAGAAAGCAGGTTTTGGCACTCGTTGGTAATGCGACGATAATATCACGCAACTACCTGAAATTCTTCAAATCCGTAGGATTCGTACTTCTAAACGTACTTCAACAACAAAATTGGAGTATATTGTTCAAGTAGTTTTTAGCCCAAAACACCTGTTTTCGGGCCATCACTACTAGTTTATTGAGCAATATACAGAGTTCGTTCAACGAGCATTTAATAGCAAAATACACGTGTTTAGCTTACCAATATTAATCACAAACCATTCCGAAAGATAAATGTTATTTTTTGCGAAAAACAAAGGTTACGTTTTTTTCTTCTAAATAAATTCAAACACTTCGTATTTGTAGGTAATTGAACAAATGCGATACGAGATTCGAAAAATACAGGGTGTCCGCAAAGTTGGGGTTTTCCTTTACACGACGTGTAGATCTTGAAAACATAAGCAATTTTTCTTAGTACCATATACACCAATGTCATAAGGGAACCGAGATAAAGGGCTCTGCAACATCAAAAATATCTGAATACCGTCCTGTAGCCGCGACCCGCGACAGCACCAAGTGGTACAAGGTCACTGGCTCAACCCGACGACAGAACTGGGTCGGGGTCAGTGTGTCAGGTCAGTATGCAACCTTCAACCTTACGGTCACGCGTGTAGAGGTAATCGCGTAGACGAGAATCCCTCAACAAGCACTAGAGACGTGGCTAGAGAAGTGCAAGTATTAAAAACTAAAGTGTGGCAAACGCTGCGTGATGAGGGGCTGTATCCGTTTCACGTCCAACATGTACAAGCCCGTCAACCGGACGATTTTCCAGCAAGAGTGCGGTTTTGTGAGTGGTTGTTGCATCAACATGACAATAATCCAGACTTTTTGAAGTGCATATTGGTGACAGACGAATCTACGTTCACGCGTAATGGGGTGAATAACTTTCGCAACACTCATGTTTGGTCAGTAGAAAATCCGCACGCTGTCCGTCGGGCACATTTTCATCAAACATTTTCGGTGAATGTTTGGGCTGGCACTGTGAACGGTATGCTCATTGGACCATTTATTCTCCCAAATCGATTGGACGGGATGCAATACCTAGACTTTTTACGCAACATTTTGCCTTCCTTGTTAGAAGATATGCCATTAAGTGTAAGACAATCAATGTGGTTTCAGTACGATGGTGCACCGCCCCATTTTAGACGCGAAGTGCGTGAGTTTTTGAATGAATTATTTCCGAATAGGTGGATGGGACGTAATGGACCCGTAGCGTGGCCTCCGCGATCTCCAGAATTAACACCATGTGCTTTTTTTATTTGGGGAGAAATGAAACGCTTAGTGTACAACACTGAAGTGCATACGGTTGACGAACATCGTCTCAGAATTGAACAAGCTGGTGCTTTCATTCGGGGGAGGGACTCCATTCTCAAAGCCTGCACCGATGCTTGGCTACGCCGTGCACGCACCTATGTTTTTGAATCAAACGGCGATAACTTCGCACAATACCTATAAAGTACGTTTACCTAAAAACTGAAAACGCGGCAACGCCGTCATATTTGTTACCTCTGTTCGTGGGATTTCATTTTCTGTTGGAGCGGTATGATTTCGGGCAGAGACGTACTTAGCCCTTCTCGTCAACTGGAGAGTGAGTACTTTTCCCTTCATTTTTTTACTTGGTCGCCCTCGTTTCACTACACATTACCTTTGTTATTTCAAGGGTAGTTGTTTCTGAAAAGGAAAACCCCAACTTTGCGGACACCCTGTATACGTTACTATACTCATTTTAAATCAAAGCCGACGTGTCTATCATCTTTTTTGCGAATTACTCATAGATACGAAATGTTTGAATTTGTTTAGAAGAAAAAACGTAACCCATACTTTTTTGCATAAAAATAACATTTATCTTCCAGAACGGTTTGCGATTCATATCGACAAGGTAAACTAGGGTTATTTGATATAAAATGCCATTTGAACTAACCCTGTATATTGCCCAATAAACTAGTAGTGATGACCGAAAGACAGGTGTTTTGGGATAAACAATTTGAAATTCTCAAAAACTGCTTGACCAATCTATAACCAATTTTGTTGTGGTTATTTAGCAAGTATCAAAATATGCAGTTTGACTCGGTTTTCGGCCATAACTTTTTTGCTGTTACTCGGATCTTTTAACGTGGTCTAATTGTGTAGGTCCTATAAATACATAAAAATCTTATATGAAGAGTTTTTTCGTTCCTGTCAACACTTTCGATTGAATCCCAAAAAACTCGTTTTCTCGTTCTTTGTTGTAGAATAAAGACTTTTCCCACAAAAAATTGGTGTACCCATTTTATGCGTCCATGTTTTAAATACCTCCTTGAACGACTTGCAGCAATAAAACCAGACTTTACAACTATTTCGCAAACCAGGGTTATTTTCGTCTAATATGATTAGAAAATACTGTACCTATGATATTCCTTGAAGGAATTTCCGTTTCCATATTTTTATGAAACACATATACAACTAATCCTTCCTTGATTGCAGTTGATGGTCTCAGAATGAGACAGGGATAATAGTCCCCATCAATTAGCGACAGAATTAGGTTCGACGTAATTCTCCTGAAATAAATTATTGCAGATAATATCAATGATATTCTCAATGAAATGGGAGAACCTAGTATGGAAAAACATATAATTATTATTGTTGCTGTATACATGTTGAAAATCTTCACAATGGAAACATTTGTTGATACATTGAGAAAAAAATTCGTTTAAAGCAATGGAAATTCTAATTAGACCAATTAAGAGAATTGATTCACTATGTGACAGCTAACAACATTAATTTGCTTAATTAAACCCCGGTTTCTAAGACAGTTTAATTTTTTAAATCGTTTAAGTACTTAGATTTATTTAAAACCAATAAACTATTAAAATGAGCTTACCTGCTCCAGGTAAAACAATTTATATTTATTAAGTTTGTGTAATTTATTCAGGTACAACTGTTTGCCTAGTTTTTAATGAAGAATTTTTTCAGATTCAATGGTATATTTTCAAAATATTTAATTTAAAATTTTTTTAAAACTTTGTAGATTATAACTATAATATAGGAAAAATAATAACTGAAGTCTTTTGGGAAGGGCATATTGCATTTTTCAGACAAGTGTCTTTAGCTAATGCTATCGTAGGACACGAGGTAAATTTAGTACAGTAAAACCTGCCAGTCACACTTCCAAATTGCATTTTCATGGCATGCACATTTTTGCGCTAGTATATAAGTAAGAATTTGCCAAACCAAATCAAGGTATATTTCTATGCATGATTTGACAACATCGCAACTAGATGGAGAAATTATGATAGTGATGGTGATGTAGTGATGGGAATATTTACCTGAAATAAAAAAAATGATCTATTTTCATCATTAAACAATGCAATTGCATTATTGCGATGTATAGTGTCACAGTAATATACAGTGCATGTTAGATTCATATAACTTTGAGCATTCTTTTGAGTAAAGAAGAACATACCAGCTTATAAAGCAGTATTCTATACCAAAGTATTACCACCCAAAATGCAACTTTGGAGTTCTATAAAATAGCAAGCATCGGGTTCCTTAAAGAAAAAATGATATTTTCGTATAAGTTACAACCGAATCTTTCATTTTAAAATAAGAAATGAAATATTTGAGATATGCGCTAAAGTATAGTTCAGCCGAAAACGTCGTGTACTGCTAGCTATTATATAGAGTATTTTGAAAATCAAAGATAAAATAAAATGATGTATGACTGTCGTTATGATTTTTTCTACTGTTACTACTCGTATATTCCTATACCCAGAGTTACTTACGATAAACGATTTGGTATTTGAGCCTCCACTTCCGTATCTCTGAGATTCCCGTGTGTTTGAACGTTTCCCATTTTGTGTTTTTAGAAAATTTCTTGTAGTTACTGCAAAGTTGGTAGATTTGCGAATATTTCTGTCCACAGTAGTAAGATGAATCTTACACAGGAAATTTTGTTCGGTTCTTATGCATGATTTATGGTGTGACAGTCCTCAAATGTCAGAAAAATATTGACTTGCAGCAGTGGGTATTATTTTGATAAGACCATACATATGAGAGGAATCCTTGTATACTGTATGGTTTGTAGTTTGGGAAAATTGATGGCTTGTACAAATCTATTTGTGCAAATAAATCGCTGTGTAAAGACAGAAATGTTCCAGCCAAAAAGTTGGGCTTATGTAAAATCTGACACGCCAGATAATTTGCTTGAGGTTGGAGCAAATTCGTGTCAAGTAAACGGCACTCCAACTTGACCCGCGCGCCTGCGCGCACTGTTTCGATAGCATCAAGTTATCTGGTCAAAAGTGATGAACGAATTGTGGCGAAGTGACATTAAATATTGAGGGACGTCACTCCAATAGTTGTGATTTCAGTAATTATTTGCTTTGAATTAATTAAATGATAAGAATTAATATAAACATAACAGTTGAGGAGTTATTGTAAGATTTATTCCTTATTTTGTAGTTCGTGCGACAATATTATTATAGTGGTTGTTGTTGCCGGAAAGAATATATACCGTAGCGATGGATTGTGTAGTTAAAGGTAAGCACTGCTTAATGTTAATAAACTACTATATTAAATACACCTCAGTAGTTGAAAAAATCCTAATTTTTGAAAAGTATTGATTTTTTATTAATTTTTTTATTTTATAAATGAGGAAACTTTATGCCCCCGGGCTTTCTACTCTTAAAATATAATATATTTTAGCTCCATATTTTTGTACAACTATTTTTTTTTCGTTTTTCAGTTTACGTCTACACTATTTCGAAAATGGAGTTTTTAGAGGAATGGCTGAAACATGGAAAAAGGTACCAGAACAGCAAGTGATACCAACTTTTATCCACAAAATATGACTTTCTGGGTATCACCGAGGCTTCACTGAGGGAAACAAAAAACTCTATCTGTAGATTTTCGTCAAAACTATCCCAGAAATTTGCGAATTGTGGAAAGAATCGAAAATGCTTCGGAATGGATGGCTGGCGATCTACGCTTTAACATTTCTCTTTATTATTCGCAACCATTTCTATCTGAAAGCTCTACTGTACTTGGAAGATCGCGAAAAGAATTCGCCGAGTCAAGCCACAAAACGAAAAAAAAACGAGTTGAAGACCTAGTGGCTTCGCGGAGTACATCCGAATTAATCTCTGCCGCGGAAATACCAGCACGACTTTCTGGTTACAGAGGCTTGGCTACCGTAATTAAGAACGCTAGTGAAAGTTCGGTAATATGCAAGGTGATGAAGAAATGTGTAATGTCCAATGACTGCACCAACCAAAGGTGTTTAACCAAGGAAGAGGCTCTAGCATATTATGTTGACTCAAAGTCAACCAGTTATTCTTATAAATAGACTCGAAAGTGGAGTATTAAGGCTGGACATCAGGTATTTCCATCATTTTATAGTATTCGGAAAGCTAACACTTCATGTTATCCTCCCGAGAATCAAATTGTTGTGTGTGAGACTCGTTCAGAAATCAAACTTCAAGCGATTTTAGATAAAACGGTCGAACGATTAGTTACTACTCAGGGTGAAGTTTTAGACAAATTGGATCCTGCCGTATCGTTCACTCTTATCAGTAAATGAGGCTGTGATGGAAGTTCTGGCCACAGCACATACAAACAAAAATTCACCAATAGTGATGATACTGATGAATTTTTGTTTGTTTTTTCAACCATACCGCTTCAATTACGTGACGAAAGTGGTAACGTTGCCCTCGATCATCCTCTACTATGATTTGTCGTCCCATTAAATTTATTTTCTCGAAAGAAACTACTGACTTTACTGTATCTGAGACAAATAAAGTATTCGCGGAAATAAATGGGTTGTTGCCGACAATGTCTAGTATTAATGGCAATGTTATATCTGTAACGCATGAATTACTTTTCACGATGATTGATGGAAAAGTGTGCAATGCTGTCACAGAAACTTCCTCAGTACAAAAATGCTACATCTGTGGAGCCACCCCAAAACTAATGAATGATGATTCAAGGGAGTTTGTTGCGAATAGGGATAACCTAGGTTTTGGTTTATCTACACTACACGTCTGGATTCGTGTTTTCGAATGTTTGCTTCACATAAGTTATCGTCTTGAAGTTAAAAATGACAATTACGAGATTCGGTTGATAAAACTAATGTAAAACACTTGTCCCGTGTCAGCGCCAGCGCTCTCCTATTGTGAAGATATGTTTTCTTTTTAAATTGTAGGAAATTTCAGGCTGATAAAACATGATATAACTCAAAAGCAAGCACAATTTGATGCAAATAGATGTTTGTGACATAACCTCAAAATAGAGCTCTGACACGGAGAAGTAGAAAACTATGACAATCAAGGAGGCCATAAAGACGCCCTACAATTGTAGGGACGACTGACGATACGGGCCTTAGGTTCTTTTTAAAACCCACACTGCACTTTTTTGTATTTAAAGAAGGTGTTCAAAATGTCGTCCTCCACTTTCCACACAAGCTTTATTACGACGAACCCAGTTTCTTCTTACTCTAGGTCAGCGTTCCCCAAACTTTTTTGTGTCGTAGACCCCTTGCCATGTTTTTCCGTGTTGGGTAGACCCCCTACTTACCGGATATTGATTTCCTGTAAATTTCTAACTGTAGTGAAGTTTAGTGTTAAAAACTTAAAGTAAAAACACATGTTAATTTATACATTTATTAATTGAATTTAAATTAAAACTACTAAAAATAAAATTTTGTATCTGTTATGTGAAATATACGTAACATTAAGTAAACAGGTGTCTGACCAATAAGTGCCCGCATTGGGAATAAGTGCCCGCATTGAAAAAAAATAAGAGAGATAAAATAAAAAAAAAGTGAAAAATAATAAAAAAAAAGTTTTTTACTTAAAATAGTACAATAACCGAGTTCGTTTATTAATTATAACATAAACGTATGTTCTAGAATAATTTCACTGTTAGTTTGATTAAATTCCGCTTCTTATACGTTTAAGTTATCTAAAAATAGGCAAAAAATTAACGAATTCTAGTGTGTACCTATCCTTGAATTTTCAGAATAATTTAAAAAAAAAATATTTTCTATAAAGGGGGGTTCTTTAAAAAAATCAATGTGGGCACTTATTCCCAATGTGGGCATTTATTGGTCAGACACCAATAAACATAAAATAAACTATAAATAAAATAAGATAAGCAATAAGTCAATATTTTTAGTGAGAAGGATGAACCTGATACTTTAATAATAAATTATCAACTTTTGGAGTCAATTTTGTAAGGGTTAATCTTAAATCTCCTCGGCTTATGATGTCCAGTCTGTTTCTTTTTTCGTTAGGAGATTGGTAACAGCGCTGAACCCCCTTTCCACTAGGTATGACGATGGAAAGGAAATTAAAAATTTCCTCGCTATATTCCATAATACGGGATAAGTATCGGGGATGTTGTTTTGCAGCCAGAATTGCTGATATCTGTTTTTAAACTGAACCTTAAGTTCTTCGTTTGTACTTAGTTCAGTCAGTTCCTCTTGTATTATGACATTCGTTTCTTCTATGTCACCATATTGATTAATTATCCACGGTGCTATTACCATAGTCAAAATATCCTCAAACCTAGATTCAAAATCTGAATAGAGGGCATTTAAATGTTGAACGTAAGTTGAAACGTCGTCTTCCTGGCAGCTTGTCTGTGACAAATTGGGGAACAGAGAAAATTCGCCCCGTCCAATATTTTGATTCAATAGTTTAACTCTGGCAAGAAACGCTGATAAGATGGACTTTGTTTTAATCAAATTTAAACTGTCGCCTTGTAATTGCAAATTAACAATATTAAATTTTGTAAACAAATCTGTTAAATAGGCGATGTCTGTTTTCCTCTTCATTAAATTTTCTTTTAAAATTTTATCTTTAGTATCCAGAAATTCTAAAATAGTCTCAAAAAGTGCAAAAAAATCTTGTCAAACATAAGCCTTTCGACAGCCAGCGTACTTCAGTGTGAAGGAGTAATTGATGAAAGTGTTCGTCATCTTCTTCACACAACTGCGCAAATAACCGCGTATTCAACGCATTGCTTCGGATTCGGCTTACTGCATCTATGACTAAATGAAGTGATTCATGCAATCTAACACTCAAATTTTTAGCAACTAAATGTTGTCGATGGATGACGCAATGTATTGCTAACACCCCTTACATATTTTGTTTTAAATAGCTTATAAATCCACGATAACGTCCAACCATGGCAGGTGCTCCATCTGTAGCTACTGATATTATATTTGATAAAGGAATTGCTTTTTCAATGAAGTAATCCTCCAAAACATGAAATATTGATTCACCTTTAGTGTCGGTTATCAAAATTCTTGCGAAGAGCAGTTCTTCGTAGATTTCATGATTCATAATAAAACGAACATATGCCAATAATAATACTGCATTATCAGGTAAAGTTGACTCGTCCAGTTGTATAGAGAAATGGGTCGTTTGCAAATAATTACATAAGAAGCTTTCAATATCAGAACTGATTTCATCAATACGTCTTTCAACAGTATTGTTGCTTAAGGGAATTCTTTTAATGATATCAGATGCAGGTTTGTGTAAAACAGTTTTTAAAACCTCTTCAACGGCTGGCAAAATTAACTTCTCTCCGATAGTATGCGGTTTTCCAGATTTTGCTATAAGTAACGAGATATTGTAAGACGCCCGCAAACCATCATCATTTCTTTGTGACGTCGAAGCGAACATTCTGTCCAGTGTAGTTCTCTTCTGAAATTTGAGTGTTTGAAAGTATTTCAAATCCTTCTCTGTTTTATCAGGGTGGCATCTTCTCAGATGATCTTGCAGTTTAGATGGTTTCATAGCGTTATTGCCCAAAACTTTGTTGCATAAAAGGCACATAGGCGGTTGTTTGTCAGGCAATGATGGAATGAAGCCAAATTTCAAATAATCAACACTGTACTGTCTACATTTCTTTTTAGATTCGGACATGGCATCAGTCATCTGTGGCAAAATTAAATTAAAAATAATAAATTTAAATGAGACAGAAAATCCAGCAGCTGTATATTAAAAATATTTTTAGATTTTTCTGAAAGCATTCCATAATTCGAACAACAATTAGCTCGAATTACGGAGATTGCACTGTAATTATATTACCGATTGCTAAAACTTTCAAAAAGAAACTATTGAGGAGTACTCGTGTAATTTTGCATGATTGAATATTTAACTACTAATAACTAAAGTCATGATTGGCGTAATTTATTTATCTTTGCTAACTACGAGTACAAAACTAAAATTTAATAAAAAATAATGTACTTACTTTTTTCCAGTACTCTCAAACAAAATAACACTGACTCACTATAATTTGTGTGATATACTATCTGTTTATATTTTTTAAAATATTTTCGTAGCACTTTCCTTATCAAGATTCGGGAAACGAATAAACGTATTTGTCCCACATTCGTATCTATAGAGTGACGTACTGAATTGAACAAGTCAGTGCAAGGTAGCGAAGCTCTGAGACTGCGACTCTCAGGTTTTTACAAGTTCAAAATGTATTGCGACCACAAAGTGAATACCAACATCCTACAACTTACACAATTTTATAAACATATATAATAAATTTTTTACTTCATAGGTACTTTTATAAATAATGTATATGTTTTGATATTATAAGATAGTATGATGTAAGTAAATAGGTACTATCAGTGTATGTGTTGAGATCCACTATCATGGACCCCCATATCCATTTCATGGACCCCCAATTTTTTTTTCGCTGACGTTGACCAATGCAGGTTGTCATAGACCCCTAGGGGCCGATATAGACCACTTTGGGAATCAATGCTCTAGATCCACGAAGTTGTCCATTTATTATTTCAGCCTCATTAACATTTTTTTCGCGGAGTTGTGCTTCAGTTGCTATTGGACCAGCCCCATAAACCATCCCTTTAAGTTCTCCTCAATACCAGAAATCCATCGGATTGAGGTCAGGAGATCTTTTTGGCCATTTTTGAGGATCAGGAGCATTTCTACCGATCCAGCGATTTGGATAATGTTCATTCAAATACTGAATGACGCCTTTAAAAATGTGTGGTGGAGCTCCGTCATGAAGAAACCACAAATTCTGTCTCCGTTGTAATGGCATGTTGTCTAAGGTCTGTTCCAAAAGTTCTGGTAGGTTATTGGCTAGAAAGCTAAGGTATCCTTCTCCTGACAACTTTGGGGGTAACTCGAAAGGGCCAATTACCTGATCGTCAAGAATACCCGCCCAAATATTTATTTTAAAACGTTGTCGGAAATGACCTTCACGAATGGTATGAGGATTTTCTTGGGCCCACGAATGAGTATTATGGAAATTTAATATCCCGTCTCGCGTAAAAGTACATTCGTCCGTCGCTAGAATGTTTTTAAAAAAATCCGGATTTCAATGTGCAAAAACTACTGACAGAATATCAGTCTGCGAGGATAGTTTTCATTTTGTTTCCCAAAAGGTGCTTATTTGTTGCATTTCTGTTATCTTGTTTTGATGTGAACCCGGCATTAGGGTGCGGTACTCAAAGTACCCCATTATGCCATACTCCCTCTCCGTTCCGCCTCTCTAGCTGACATAACATAAACAAAGTAAAAGACTCTTGGATGCCTCCCCAAACATACTAACCATACTCGTTAATATTTATTACATCATAGACGGAGGTGTCGGTAACATTGTTGTCTCTTAACAACTCGCTGGATCATCAGGCCCCGATAATGACGGATGATTCATCATAATCATCCCCACCTTCATCCTCCAGCGGTCGGCTCCAGGAGGCGGTCATCAGGTTATAGCAAGCCGCGTCTCAGAGCGGCGCCAAACATTCGCGAATCGCGAATATCTGAACGTCGCCGTCCGTGGTTGCCGTCGCCGTCGCGCTTAACTATCTCTCATCATGGTGTGCTGCGGTTTCCTTCTTTTGTTAATGACTTGCGTCAAGGTGCCCAAGAAGCAAGGATTGTAACAGTGCGTGTTATTTCAGTGTCACTCAGTGCTAGCGATATTCATTTTTTGTTTGTTCCGGTGCTTCAGTGACGCTTACTGTTTTGATGGTGAGTTGTTTTAGGTTAGGTTGTGTAGGCGCTGCGCTGATAACGCGTATCAGCTGTTGGTGCGTGATAAGCTCGTGTAATATGGAACAATAGGTCATTGTCAACCGAAGTGTTTTTCGATATGATGTCCGAGGTGATTTCTTACTTTTGCACGAAGAAGTCAGAATTTACAGCTTTAAAAATATCGGACACATTGGGAAAACGTCTAAAGATTTTTAATGACTTGTTGATTTTGCTTAATTAAAATCTAAGTTTATAACTGTTTTAATGGAAAATTAGATTTCTATGAGTAGCTTGTATATTTTTGTTAGCCATCCAATAATATCGGATAATGTGAATCTGATTTGCAAAATATGAGGCTATTTACATTTTAAGCATACAAAAACTAAATGACTTATTAGGTATATATAATGAATAACTGATTAATATTATAAAAATTTTGCTATAGAAAAATATGTTCGTATTATGCAAAATTTATCAAATCTGTCACATAGGTATCAAAAACGTTGTGAAAGTGAATCAGTCAGCCATTAAAAAAAACGGCTCAGTTCATAGACATTTAAGTGAGTCAAAACACCACAAATGTTTTAAGATCTAGCATGATTGCTACATTACATTCTCTTAAAAAACTACCAAAAGTACATAACATACAAATATTTTGAAAAACAAAACTTGTATCTCTTGAGTATTTTCACTGTATTTGAAATGTACCTTTAATTTTCTTTTAAACATATTTAAATTACAAGTAGACTTTATATTATTATTTAGTTTATTAAATCCAAGTAATGCTTTCTGATATTGATTTGCTTGTTATATTACTATTGCAATTTTGCAAATGGAAATCTATATTTCCTCTTGTGTAATGATTGTTGTAATGATTATTCAATCCTATGTAATGTTCTAAATGTGGCAAAATATGTTTTTTATATTTTAAATAAACAAATAACCAAATATGATATGTATTTTTTCATTTTCAATCACTGTAATTCTTGTAAAATAGATTTTTATTGTGTACTTATTTCTATTCAATATTATTCTTATAGCTTCATTTTGTAGTACTTCTTGACAATACAGCTTTATTGGCAGTGAACAAGACAGCTGAACAATATAGTTATTTGATGGAATGATTGTTTTATAAACTACTTTTGTGGAATATCTACTAATTAATTAATAATTTTTGCAATTTTTGAAATAATGTATTAATAGTGATCCTTATACATTAGTAGGTATACTATCAATATATATTCCCAAATATTTAATTGATTTAACTTTTTCAATTATTTCACCATTTATCCTAACCATACAGGGTGGCGCATCGAAAACGAAACAGACGCATTTACTGGTTTTTTTTTTGGAAAAACGCTCAGACCCGTCGATTTTGTTTTCGAGGGGGACACAAGTTTGGCAAAAAATCACGTTAACACGTGCAGCCTCTTGGGCGGGGGTGACACCAACCCTAAAATCTTAAATGGAAAGGGGGTTCGAGTGATACCTTATTTTAAAGGTCTTTCAATTCCCTTTATAATGATATAAAATTAATGTACTTCAGTTCAGTAGATTTGAAGATTTATTGATTTAAAGCTTAAATAAAACTAATAGATCATCATTAGTGGAGATCAATACATTTGGCAGCAAAGTAATTTAAAAATGAAGAATGAACTGACCCGTTAGGCAAGTAAATGTTGAAAAAGATTTTGCTCAAAACGTTGCCGCACGTTTTGCAATATTTGAGGAGTAATTTGAACGCACTCATTCACAATTCTTTGTCGCAGGCCTTCTAATGATGTTGGCTGAGTAGATAGATTTTGCTTTTTAAATGACTACACATAAAGAAATCCAAAGGTGATAAATCTGGCGATCTTGGGGGCCATTCAATGGCACCTCCTCTACCAATCCATCGATCTGGAAACGTCTGATCTAAATATTGTCGAACACGTAATGCGTAATGTGGTGGGGCACCATCCTGTTTTAACATCAACCTATTCGCAATATACCGCCGATCATTCTGATTTTCAATTATGTACTACGCCATTTAAGAAAAAGGAACATTCTTCGGAAAAGCAAGTGCTGAATAGAAAATGTTCATCGTTTATAATTCGTTCACTCATATCTTCACAAAATTGTAGTCGCCGATCAAAATCGTCTTCATTAAGTTCTTGTACCAGGTGAATTTTATACGGATGAAAACTAGGGCCTTTAGAATCCGTTGGACAGTACGTCGACTAACACCGCACACAGTCTGCAATTTGCGGATACTTAACGTAGGATTTACATAAACTTGCCCTAAGACTCCCACTTCTATTGCTTTGTTCCTTATGGGATTTTCAATGTTGCGTTTTTTATTGGCGACTGACCCAGTTTCCCGAAATTTAGCTACAAGTTCTAGAACATATTGTCGATGCTCGTTACTGTTCTCATGTCGCTTATTAAATATTTCTGCTGTTCTATTAGCGCACTGATTATTTCCGAAAAATATTTCGATAATTTCAACTCTTTCAGCTGTGGAATATACCATAGTTAATTTATGTAATAAAGCGTTACAAGTTATTTTGGCAACAAAGTTTGGTCAAATCAATCGCAGACTATGTACTAAATTCCTACTTAAAATAAGTACGACAAATTTCCTTATCTTTCTTCAAGAAATAACTTTTTTGCCACAAAAAACGCTCCAATAGCTATTTTCAACAATGATAAACATACCATGGGCGTAGTGAAGAAAAGCATTTACTTATTAAGTAAATTCTTTTAGTTAAATGTCTTCTGAAAGTAGTACAAACTAAACTGATGTACCTATTAAAGTCTACTTTAAGCTTTAAATCAATAAATCTTCAAAACTACTGAACTGAAGCTCATGTATTTTATATCGTTATAAAGGGAATCGAAAGACCTTTAAAATAAGGTATCACTCGACCCCCCTTTCCATTTAAGATTTTAGGGTTGGTGTCACTCCCGCCCAGGGGGCTGCACGTGTTCACGTGCTTTTTTGCCAAACTTGTGTCCCCCTCAAAAACAAAATCGACGAGCTAAAAAAAACTGAGCTACCAGTAAATGCGTCTGTTTCGTTTTCGATGCGCCACCCGCTATAATTGAGCATTGTTCTATTAGCCCACATTGGTTCAAAGGCATACAATTTTAGTTTATTTACATGTAATGCAATTGTGATATTCACCTAGTCAGAATTTAGCATTTCTAAAGCAGCCTTTGTATTTTAATCTGATATGTATATAGGTATTAATGTATCATCTGCAAACATCGCATACAATATTGAAACATTCTACAACCGATGTTGGAACATAGTTTAATACTTTAGAAATGTTTGCCGTTGCTGATTGACGTAGGATGTATAACTAAATATCAAATTTGTATCGTATTGTCTTCTTTTTAACTCATGAATCATACAAAAACTTTGAATGGATGTTTTCTGATAAATACAACAAGACCACAGCTATTCAATAAATATCGCTTGAATTCTAGTTCAAAACTAACAATTTTTCAGGAGAGCAAAAAGAACGGCGGGTCTCTGTTTCAACATCGAATGACGTGCATATATCTTATAATCCTCCATGTTTGTCTAGCCGCAAATGCAACCTCATATGCTTGAAATACTGCCTGCTGACGTTTCAGCAACCACGGTGGCCTTTTTCAAGTAAATGCATATCTTATTTTTTTGAGTAACGTGGTGTTAGAACTTACGATAGATATCTCAAATTCCAAATATGTTGGAATAACAATACTCGGATTTACATCATTAGCGGGGCATCAACATATCAGTACCACGTCCTGCTTGATCTGCGACATGTTAATAAAAGCTATCGTTTTGATATAAGATTTGATTCCATGATACAGTATGTATTTTTTTGAAATGAATAGCAATCAGTGGACCTCCGGTAATCCGACAAACATTATGCAGGGCAGTGTCGGATTATAGAGCGCTGCCTAAGACCCGCTATAGTCCGGAATTTTTTTACAAAAGAGTACCTTGTAATCCGACAAATTACATATCCAATGGTAAGATTATGTATATATATATATATATATATATATGTTATTTATATGTATGTACTTTGAAGTACAAATTATACATAGTTTATGTATGTCAAATTTAGTAAATTAAATAACAATAGAGAGCTTACGTTTTATTATAAAATTAAGCTTAAACGCACATACATATGTACCAAAATAATCAAGAATTTTTAATCAAAATCATTAATGAATTTATCAAATTATGAGGCTTGGAAATATTTATCAATTTTTTTTGTTTAAGGTTGTTATAACGTGAGATCAGAGCTTTGTCCCTCAGTCTTCTCAAAAGTAAAAGTTCGTTGTAGGATGTACCATCCACTTCAGCCCATTGTAAACCTAGCTAAAATGAGTTAATTGCGTCTTGTGCTGTGACTTGTGGAGCAGTTGCAGTCACGTCGTCGTTACTTTCCTGATTGTTTGTTGTATAATTAGAAACCTCTTTTATAATCTCTTCGTCAGACATTTCATGAAAAACATTTTCCTCTTTATCCATTCCACGGCACCAGATTTCCACATCTTCCTCCGGAGTTATCTGTGTTTCAGTAGCGACTTGTTCTATAACTTCCGAAGTAACACTGATTTGTGGAACGTTGCTAGGAGTGGTGACTATGTCTGGCCATAACTTTTTCCAAGACGATTTAATAGTTGATGACGGTAACGCGTTCCACGA